GAGTCCTTATTTTCTGCGACATTATTGCCCCCTTTCCCTTAGCAAAATAGATGTATGCCTGACTCACCGTTATCCTTATCTTCGTCTTCCAGTATTCCAGCATATATTTCTTCGAAAAAGATTTGAACAATGAAGCACGAAACGACAGAGAGGATAACCATGAAGAATGCTGGCAACGTGTACATGTTGAAGATTACTGATCCCACTGTGAATCCAGCCTCTCCTATAGGGGTGAATACAGCCTAAATTGATAGCTCAAAATGACCTGAATATAGGGTTATATAATTTGAAGATGGTAGATGCAAATGTGCTACAAATTACATCCACTCTTTAAGACAATGCATTCGACAAAAAACACCCAAACAGATAAGGTTCAGCTTTAGTCACCCAACAGCCCTTTTAGAAAAACTCATTGAAAAAGTATTAGAGGCTGGAAATAAGTTAGGTAAGATCATTGGCCAAGAGTGCATGGTTAACAAAGGAAAAAAGGAAACGTAGCCTTCGAGCTCTGCTTTTGACTTCCCGATAAATAAGATTAGGGTTGTGTGTTTGAGATTAATTGAGGAACAGTGACAATAATAACCTGAATAGCTGGACCAGCGGAAAGACCTAGGACCATTCCTGCAGTGCCAAATGATACCGCACGCATACGATCTTTAGGAACAGATGCAGTTGCCGCATATGCTCTCAGAACCGATAGTGTACCTAAATAATCAGCATACAACACAGGTTATATGGACAGGGTTTCCTAAGAACACTATTTGATCGTCAACAGCTCCTTTATTTTCATATTCTTTCTAAGGAACATCTTTAAATGCTCGCTTGAAATCATTCCTCAAAGTTCCTCTATCTGTCGCCATTACGGTTGGACTACGCTATGTTACGATGGCATAAATCCTATTGGCACTTACATAAGATAATTATGTCGTAAACTTGTTTTATGGGATTATTTATTATATGATTAGTAATACCGCAAGATTTTTTATATTTTGTATCGCTTAAACGAAGTTACTTCAAGTTTACGCCAGCGTAAATTCCACATACGAATCTCATGCAAATTGTACCGTGATCCTAGCCCAACGAAAGCTGATCAGCCATCTTTTGTCAAGGTGAGCCTAATATAAGGCTATCTCAAGACGAATCAACAAGGGCTAGAAATGTTGAGAAATTAAAGAGTTATCAACAATCAACAGTGATCATATTTTTCTTGGAACCCCTCTAGTAATAAAGTATAGTTCTGTATGTGTGTTGTAGTGTGTATATGTGCATACATGTATGTACAGTATGTATATGTGCATGCGTAGTATGTACATTCCGAATACAAAATTTCAATTTCTGCGCTGATCCGAACCAAACTGC